GGATGGACATGCCACCATCTCTTCTTCTCCATTCTCCTTTTGGGATTCTGGTTACATATACACATAGGCCTGGCATGATTTTCAAGCCACTGGGTCTGGGACTTGAACTGTGGTAGATCATGTGGGAGTCCACCGCCTTAACCTCCACGCTACCTGCTGGCCCTCCTGTAATTATTCTACTTTATTTGAAAACACTTTTTAAAAGTTTGGTAGAGGGTATGTTAGCTTGCCAGAAAGAGACAGAGAGAGAATGGGAAAAACCACCCTATAGTTGGGTGTGGTCACATGGCCATCTCTTCATTTCTCCACCCTGTCAGGATTTGGGGCATGCACATCCCTGTTTTTTTTTCAACTATTGAGTTAGGGATTTGAACCACATGGTCGGCCATGTGTGTTTTGGCTTCCTTAACCACGAAGCCACAGGTTAGGCCTTCCTTTAATTCTTATATGTTAACAAGAACCTTTATCTTTTCAGTTTTCCCCATTAATCCTTTTTTCCTAATGTTACAAGCTTGTCTGTATGAAAATTGTCAAGCTAATGAGGAATATCATATATTTAACCATTATTTTGACAAATTCTAGGACTCTGGGAGGTTAACTGATTTACTTAAAGTAAAAGGGTAATATTTTGCTAATATACATGGCAAAATTTTGTTAAAACATGATGTTTCTGGTCCCCAAATCCACTGTTTTCTAACCATAACTATGTCTTCTTTCATTAATCCCTATGGTTTTTTGCAGTTCAGAATGGTTTTTGGCTTAGAAAATATGACTCTATACTGACTACTTCTAATCAACTGATTGCCCATATCTCTCTGGATGTTTCTTGGCTCTCCTTACTGATTCCTGCCATAGCCTGGTGTCATGTGCAAACAATACACATGCTGTTTTCCATTATTCAAGTCATTGGATAAGCCAAAGAGCACAAGGCCATCTGCCCAATTTCCTAAAAGAGTATTCATATATTAGTAATAGTTATTCAGATGTGGATTTTTAGAATTATTTATTTGAGTTCAAGAAACTATCTAGTCTACAACTTTCTTTGTGTAGATAAAATATAATTCATTTACATCTGTATTCATGTCCACATGGGTTCAGAGAAGATTTTTCCAGTAAAAGCAGACTTCACTTAATGTCTCCCCTTGATTTTATTAGACCTACAGAGTTAGATAAGATTTGATTAGCCAGATAAGACTCATCTTTCCATGGGAAATCTGTTTGTTATGCAATTACTAGTATTTATTCAAAAGGGAAAGCATGCAGGTTATTTTTTTTGGCTCTTATTTATAAATCTCCAGGACTCTTTTATGTTGAGCACTGTGTTGTAATTAATTCTTTTGTGTCTTTTACTCTTAGATTACTCAAAGCAGTTCAGAATTTCGGTAGATATTTCTCTAAATGTATTTCTTTTTCTTGATTTTTGCTGTCTTTCTATAGAAAGAAGGTAGAGGGGACTGAACGCCAAGAAATCTTGTCAATTTCTGATCAATTTTTTAATGGGAGAATGGATTATATTTTTGTGTACAAATTTTTGACTAATGTGATTTTTTTTTTTAATCATAGACAACTGGAACTAAGATTATAAGGTTGTTAAACATTGTCATTTGTGCCTGGCTCTGTTTAGGTTTACCTGGGATCCAAACCCCAAGCTCTCCAATATGACTCCAGTATCCAGGCAGCTGGACCTAAATTTAAATTTAGGAATACTATTCTTGAGCCCGAATTTAAGCTTTTAAGAACTGTTCTTAAATCCAACCCATTCTTCATTTCTGTTTTCTCAAACTCGTTCTTTTTGGTGTTTCTCATTTTCATCTTCCTTCCTTCCTTCCTTACTCCCTTCCTTCCTTCCTTCCTCCTTCCCTCTCTCCCTCCCTCCCTCCCTTCCTTCCTTCCTTCCTTCCTTCCTTCCTTCCTTCCTTCCTTCCTTCCTTCCTTCCTACCAGATACCTGTTGCCCTTATTTTGTTACAGCTACCTTCATCTAGAAAGGATTGATTTACTTATAAGAGCTTTGGGAATCAAAATAACATCTTTCCCAGTTGTATTTGCACATGTGAAAAGAGGCTTTTGGAAAAGGAAATACTTAACCCAAAGAACAAAATGCCAAATGTTTGAGTTTTAGGCATAATAGTTCTTAAGTGAATTATTTTGAGGAGGGGATGATAGGGTATTGAAAGGGTTAGGGTGGATGAAATCCTTCCAATGTACTAGCATTCTGCTTTACTGCATTCAGTTGGTTCTTTTTACCATATATACCTGAATAGATCAAATTTAAACTTTAAAAAACGTTTTTTAAAAAATGTATTTCACTTACATGAGAGGGATAGTCTTGCCAAGATCAAGGTCTTACAAGGTCTTGCCACATCCATGGTCTCCCTTTCCCTCCAGCCTTGAAAATAGCCAGGATCACTGACACACCCGCAGGTGTACCCAGCATATTCAGGCCCATCCATACATGGAACCCAGGCCTTCTGAGTGGCTCCAGTATCACGCAGCAGTATCCAACTACCTGCACCATTATGACTAGGCCTGACTTTTGAACTTTTGAGAACTATTATTAAATCCAACTCATTCTCTTGGTGGTTTACTGTATTATCGAGATTCCTGTTTTCATATAAATTTGTATCTAGCTCTAGATGAGAAGTATATATAAACTTTAATATAAAATAGATTTTCATGTGGTAATATATAATTATTTTCCACTTAGTGTGTTTTTTAATTCCCTACTTAAATCACTTCTATTATGCCTCCTGAGTTTATTGTCTGCTAGTTCTTCTCAAGTGTGACATTGTTGCCATTTTTGTTTACATGCAATTGTAAGGTGTTTTAATAAAAGTCTCACAACATGTCTACCTGTATTTCTTTCTTTTTTTTATTTTTGACACATCTGAGAAGTAGCTTAAATGACCATACAAAGAGTTACACAAAAGTGCAGCTTACCATGTTGATTTCTACTGTCTCCCACTGACATCCCTTGGGAAGTATCAGAAGCTCCACTTTGGGGTAGGCGATTTTGTACTATGTACTTTAGAGGAGGATGGTTAGAGGTTACTTATTGTAAAAACTGATTGTGATTTCCCTATTCATCATTTGCTAAATTTAGTCTTTTATAATGTGGCACAAGATCTACAGAACTGAACTCAGACCATTAGGAGCTGCTTATCATGTCATTTTTCTGCCACTCTGATTGCTTTCCTTTTGCCTTTTCCCCCTTGAAATACTATGCTTCAGAATGGGAAACTCTCTAGTAAGTAGGTAGTGTCTATCATTGCCCTGTACATCATGACATCAAACCTGAAGGGTGACCCATACCCAGTACATTCCCTGAAGAGTACAGTAAGTCTTCACTGACCTGGGGCCTACCAGATCATATTGATAGTGTGTGTGTGTGTGTGTGTGTGTGTGTGTGTGTGCTTAATGTAACTATCTGCTATTTAACAGCTACATTTACTATAGGTGAAGTTTGTGTCCTTGATGCTCCGATATGCTTGGCTGAAGATATACAGTAATCCCTTTCAGCAAAACAATAGCAGAACATATAAAGGGACTCAAAACACCAATTTCACACACAAAATGGATCAGATTCTACATTTTTAAATGTTTTACTTATTTCAACTTTAATACTGTATCATTCTATAGAATTAAAATTAGTATAAATTATTTTCTGTTTCTGGTTTCCCTTCTGTATTTTATAATGATTGACAATTTTAAAGTGTTTTCCTATTAAATTGTCTCCAGACTTTAATGAATAGAGTGCATGAATTCCAAGGCCACTGACTTAAGGGCATTTTTAATCTAGTATATACAACTTCATATGGTCAGAGATTTTTGTGGAAACAAAGCATGGAGTATTTTAAGAATTGGAATATCCTATGAGTTCTTGATATAAACATTGGTTGGGTCCTTTACCTGTAATACAATTATCTTAAAGAGTTGATTATTTTCTGTGAACATTTTATTGTGTCAGTAGCAGTTCCACGTTCCACAGAGTATGTGATTCGCTAGTACAGTTCTTGACTGTGTTTCTCCCCCAAATGAGGTGACTGATTATAAAGAAACCAGAGCAAGCATTATGAGATTCAGTACATGCTTTTCTTAAAACTGTTTTTGAACCAGATCTTCCTCGTAACAAATGCTGGAGAGTTTGAGAGAAAGCTGTCAACCTTTCATTGTATGCTTTTTCTGTTCCTAAAATCACCCAGTTTCCTAATTTGGAAGTAGTTTAATATCTCATGTGGTTTAGATGGAAGCATTATATTTCCTTGAAAATAATTTAGTTTGTAATGCTGTGTTCTGCATGAATACAAATCATACACTGCATGCTTTTAAATGACTTGATGTCTTTGCAGATCTAATTTTGGTATATTTGTATCTCAAATAATTTGCCAACTCAATATTTTGGCTTAGCAATCCAAATCCAATTGTGGTCCAAGTAGTAGACGCTCACATTGGATGTACAGAGACTTGTCAAGCAATTAGCAATGAATATTTAAGCGTCTTCATTACCCTTGCATGAGGAATGCAGATGGAATTTAGGGAGATGGCAACCAGAGGGCACCACTGTGAATTAGGTTTCTATCTTTTGGTCACCTGACTATTGGAAGACTTTCTGCAGGCCCCGTGCCACTCCTCTACTTCTACCGTCTGGCTAAAAATAAAGCAGGCATTCCGAATATAAAACAGGTTGCTTCCATGAAATTTGTATGCTTATCATGAGATTTGTGAAGGTTGTCTCTAAGGATCCCAGCTTATATCCTTTAGGCACACTAAACTCAAACACCAGGACTTTATAGGGGCTTATAAGAATCAAAGTTCCTTCAAAAAATCCTGCTGATCGTTTCCTTTAATTACCTCAGTATAATGTGCTGAATGTGCAGAAGGGAATAAATCAACAGCCCATCCCTTTGAGAAGCTAATGTATTATATATGGTCCAAGAAAAATGTGTTCGAATAATTATAATTTCCAGATTGAGCTCTTATTATAAATTTCTCTTTTTTAAGGAAAAAACAACACTGGAGAGTCTGACTCAGCAACTGGCAGTTAAACAGAATGAAGAAGGAAAATTTAGCCATGCAATGATGGATTTTAATATGAGTGGAGATTCTGATGGTTTGTGAAAATTTTTCATATATATTGCAATAATGTGCAAAATTGTCTATTAGTGCCAATTAAAGCTGCTTAAGAAATAAACAAAAGCGCCACCTCCTACCTGATCATCGCAATAAGAACTCACATACACAGAGCTGTCATGTGCCAGGCACCGCCCCAAGCACTCTGCATAAATCATTGCTTTCAATCCCCAGAAAAAGCTGTGAGCTAAGTACTAGTGCACATACAGAGACTGGCCTTCAGGAATTTGAATCATTTTTTCTAAGATCACATGGTTCTAAGTGCTGGGGGCAGGTCTTGGGTTCGAGAGGGCTTGATTCTAAAGCAAATGTTTTTAGTCACCATCTTCCCTGTCCCTCACTTCTCTGTTTATTCCACCCAATAGAAACATTTTAGAAGCTTGTATCTATTAGTTCATTTTTATATTTCAGTTTGTCAAACTCTGACCAGAATACGTGACTTGGAAGACATACTTGAAATAGTGTTTGAGCCCTTTACAGTTTGAACCCTTCCCTCCTAGACCACCTACCACGCAGTCATGTCCCAACCAGAATTCCAGCTACACAGCTTCGTGCTTCCCTCCTTTGGATGCCTCAGTTCTTCCATTGACTGCTTCACCTCTGAACATTCCAAACATCCCCAATGACAAACACTTTAATTGTTACTCTAATATTAATAGCATCGCAAAGAGGAAAATGGGGGAAAAGTATTGTTCTTCTCATATACTGCCCTGATTGGGAATCTCCTAGTGTCAAGTAATATACATATATATTTTTTTCTTTACTTTCTTTTTTTTTAAATTATCACGTGCATTTGCCAGAGAAAGACCAGGAGAGACAGAAAGTATGCAAAAAAGGGAACATGACCATCCAAAACTAGACATGGTCAGGTCATAATCTCTTTATTTTTTCATCCAGTAAAAAATTTGGGTATGCACACATATGTACCTGATGTGTTTTTCATGACCCCAAGACTGAGATTTAAGCCGTGATCATTCCATGTAGGGTCCAGGCACAGGGTTAGCCCCAAACATGCATTTTAAGAGTTTTTGATGGTACAGTCTTGAGCAGTATTACTGTTACAGGGAAAGTTCTCTAAATACAAAAGAGACTAGACAAGGGCAAACTAGTGAAGAACAGATTTTAGGACAGAGGAGGTCCCTTTAAATCCCCCTACACATTACAGATATCTGTTCTATGCCTTGGGCCAGTTCTGCTTTTAAATCCAGCTTGTACTAGCCAAGGGACTAGCCAAACTTGAACATTTAACCATATAATTGTGTCAAAACTGAGTTTTATTCAGTTAGAGATTTGAGAGAAATCTATTTTTCTAATCTCACATAGGCAAACATTTCCTTCGATTTTATACTTCACTTGGCTAGGATAAACTAGGCCCAAGTACACACGAAAAGCTTGTTTAGATTTGATGAAGTCACATAACGCTCATTTTATTGCTTATGTTGCTGTAAGGTGTAAGAAAAAGAAAAGGCAGATGCGCAAATGATCATTTGCTAGTTACAAACCCATTTTAGAAAGCTGTTGCTACATATTAGCACTTATTTTTGTCAATAAAAAGACAATTACCGGTAATAACACATTTCATAAATTTTAGGTTGTATTAGCATGATAAAATATGCCCATGATAATCAGCATTAAAACATCAAAGTATTTGTTGCTGTCATTTGTTAAATTCAGCCATGCTTGTGTGCAAAATATGTCTCACCCTGCTTCAGACCAAAGAGCATGTTATGAATGGAAAATAATGAAAACCTCTATCAACAGATACACTGTGATTTTTGTTTGCTGAGGTACAAGTGTTCAGTGCTGAATTATGTTGGCTGATTCCTTTACCTCCAAATCAAGAAAAGGAGAACATGAAGGAGGACAAGAAAAGTAGTGCTTTTATTAATAATACAAGTTCTAGAACTCTCCAAAGCATTTTAAATCCTTAGGTTACTATTGAAATACATCTACTCTATCTTTTGTAACGATAACCAGTGAAAACTCCGAATCAGAGTCCTGTGTTTTCTTATCTTCTTCACCTGAGCTCAAGCATCTTGGAAGCTGTTTAATTGGCTTAAGCCATCTTATGAGGTCACATAAGGGTAAAGGAGTAATGCAGCTTCCAGAGATTTTAATATAACTCTTGAATTGTATGTTTTTATAAGTGAATCTTACTGATTGAAATGTAACTTTTCAATTGACCTTTCTGAATAATTGTAGATGTTCAAGGTGAAATTCAGAAGAATATATTATTTTTCTCACCTTAAACATGTGACTAAGGAGCAGCAGGTGATGTAGTGGTTACATTGCTGGACTCCCACATGGTCGACCGCAATTTAGGTCCTGACCAGTGGCTTCAAAATCACATCAGGTGGGGACCAGCAGTTAGTATAATGGCTATGTCACTGGACTCCCATATAGTCAACCGTGGTTCAAGTCCCGGACCCAGTGGCTTAAACTCATGCCGGGAGCATGTGCATGCGTGCCCAAGATCCCGAGAGGAGAATGGAGGAGAAGGGATTGCAGCATAGCCATCCCCCCTGCCGGGTGATTTCTTGCTTTCTATCTCTCTGTCTGGCTGGCGAGCGCACGCACCCTATAGCAAAAATCACCTCAGGTGCATGTGCCTGCATGCCCAAAGTTCTGGGAGGACAACGAAGGAGCAGGGGTTACAGCATGTCCATCCCCCTTAGGGGCGGGTGAGTGATTCCCCACTTTTCCTCTCACTGTGTCTTTCTCTCTTTCTCTCCCCGGGGACTGCACACTCCCAAGGCAAAAACCTGAAAACAAACAAACGTATGACTGTAGATGTCTTAAGCAACCATAGGAATATAACTATTCATTTGTTCTTTTCTCTACCACTTTCAAATACCTTTTTTGGGAAAGACCATCATTATAGTGGCAGCATATTTCATGCATTTATTAGCAAAGAAAGTCAAACATATTACAGGGAAGTAACTATATTGTACTTTGACCTCAAAATTTTATTTAGCAGTGTTTTCATTTACATAATCTCAGAGAAAGGAAAGCAGTGTGAGTACTCTAGGTTCTGACAGCCTTTAAGTAGCAAGGTGCATTTTTTATCTTTACCTATAATTATTTATTCTGCCAAATAGATTAGTGTTTCACAGTTTTGTGACTTGTTCACTGCTTAATATTTCTGTAGTCCTGCCTATCACACATGCTTTTGCTCCAATCTACTCTCTTTCCAAATTGCATCAAAAATTGTATATTTGAGTTTTATGTGAGCTTCTGAGTACGTGGTGAGTACTGAGTTCATTGAAAGAAAGGGAAAATGTATCAGAAATGATTCAAATACAGAAATCTATTGGCCACCACAAGGCTTATCACAGAAACTTTGTAAACAAGCATCCATCTTAAGAATTGGACGTACCATTATCAGAAGTACTTTTCATTTTCAGATATTTTATTAGACTGAAAAACAGTAATGCAAGGACAGTTGCCAAAAGCTTTAGCAATAATGTGAAGCGATATTCTCTGTTTTTAGGAAGTGCTGGAGTGTCAGAGTCCAGAATCTATAGGGAATCCAGGGGGCGTGGTAGCAATGAACCCCACATAAAGCGTCCAATGAATGCCTTCATGGTGTGGGCTAAAGATGAACGGAGGAAAATCCTTCAAGCCTTTCCGGACATGCACAACTCCAACATCAGCAAGATACTGGGTAAGACAAGCATTCCGTACGTGTTGTGCGGTATAAATGTACCATTGCGTTTTGTGAGGCTGTTGAAAGATACTGGATTTGGAGGCCAGGCAGCTCATGCTATTTGCTTATCCAGAAAATAAGTTGCATCATGGAGGCATCTTTTGATGGTGAAGCATTTTATGTTCATTGACACAGGGACCCAATTTCCATAGTTAATTTAGCTGATGTCCTCATACTGATTATTCCAATGGTTTATGTTCATTAAAAACATAGAAATAGTTGGGAACCAGCAGTTAGTGTAATGGCTATGTTGCTGGACTCTCATGTAGTCGACCGTGGTTCGCATCCCGGACCCGGTGGCTTAAAACTCACGCCGGGTGCGTGTGCGTGCGTGCCCAAGATCCCGAGAGGAGAATGGAGGAGAAGGGATTGCGGCGTGACCATCCCCCCTGGGGGGTGATTTCTCGCTTTCTGTCTCTATGTCTTTCTCTGTCTGTCTGGCGAGCGCACGCGCCCTATAGCGAAAACCTCTCAACAAAAAAAAAAAAAACAAAACAAAACATAGAAATAGTTTTACTAAAACTGAGAAGAAAGTTGCTTTCACATAAGCCACTAGATACTGATCTTCTTCATTTTTATTATTTTCTTTTCAGAACTGTAGACAGATTATTGTTAATCCTAAAATCTCCCATCATCCTTTGTCATCAAGGATAAGGAGTTTTCTTTTTAGAATTTATCATATTGTGGGGATGAGAGTAGGGGTGATGTTTATTATAGTGCTATAATTCAAAATCAATTTATATTTTCAGAACACGAGAAAATGTAGAGTATGCAATTTTCAATTCATGCTTTTAGTAATCTTAGACACAAACGGTACTTTCAGCAATATTTAGTAACTTTTTAATACTTTATTAAAAGTATTTTCCTGCCATTGAATGATTTAGCTTAACAGAATACAAAGCACACATTTACTCTACATGGATAGACACTGAAGTACACAGAAAAGACGGGTGGAGAAAAGGATAATGATTACAGAGACCTATTATAGACCAATTTTAGTCCCAGAAATAAAGAAGCAAAATCCCATTTCCATTGTACCATTCCCTTGATATCACCACCATTGTCATCATCAATACTGTCATATTTATCTCCATCACTATCTTCATCTTTTTTTTTCTTTTTTGGAGAGGTTTTCGCTATAGGGCATGTGCGCTCGCCATACAGAGAAAGACAGAGAGACAGAAAGCAAGAAATCACCCCCCAGGGGGGATGGTCACGCCGCAATCCCTTCTCCTCCATTCTCCTCCCAGGATCTTGGGCACGCACGCACATGCACCCGACGTGAATTCTAAGCCATGGGTCCGGGACGCGAACCGTGGTTGACTACGTGGGAGTCCAGCGACATAGCCATTACGCTAACTGCTGGTTCCCTCTATCTTCATCTTTAAGTAGCCTGTTGGCCCCGTGTTGAATAACCTAAGCAAACTTTGTTTATTAATTTTCTGACCTTTTCATTTTGCTTCAGGGTACGTGCGCTCACCAAAGAGACAGAAACTGAGAAATAGAGAGGGACAGTGAGAAAGCACCTGCCTGGGGGATGGCAATGCCACAATCCCATCTCCTCCAGTCTCCTCTTTGGGATTTAGGGCATGAGTGCATGCATGCCTGGTATGTTTTTCAAGCCACCAGATCCAGAACATGAAACACAGTTGGCCATGCGGGACCCAGCCACCTTAACCACCATGACACTGGCTAACCCTCCATTACTGACTACTGAAAGCACAACAGTAAAAATAGAATAGAAACTTCTAGCTCTATCAGCAAATTTTAACACATAAGTAACAAATTTCTCTAAATTACTAAAGCTTTATTAAAATCCATAATGCACTTAGAATTACATGTTGTTTATGAAGATAGCATTTCTTCTGATTCTTCGCATTATGGAAGTGATTATCTGAAAGTAGTTACCAAGCAAACACATGTGTTTTTATGATCCCATGTCCTTGACAAAGAGAATACATGCCACTCAGTCCATAATGTGATCACAGTGAGATCAAAACAAAGATCCATTAACCATTTAAATCTCTGTCACAATTCTCACCTAAAATTACTTTTAAATCTTCAGATGAATGTTATCTCAAAAGATGTGAACATGTGAATCTCTAGGTATACATAGATTCATAGATATGAATATGTGTAAAGATATATTTCTGTGCATAATTAAAAACTGGAACTGGGCAAGAGGAAATGCATAGTTTTGCATCTCCACTCTATCTTTCACATCGCCAAGTGAGATTCAAGATCTGTTCTTCCTTATTGTGACTATCTTCTCTCTTCTATATGAAATTTCTTATCTTTGAAAAGAACATACCCGTTTCATTTGAAAAAACTCTAGGGACAAAAAACTTTGTGTAGGTATATTTCATGTTTTAACATAAAAAATTAGAAATCCAAAAATATAAAAAATAAGCTAAATACTAATTGTTTAAATTGTCTTTATGTTGCTCAGTTTATGAATATGGATACTGAAAAAGTAATTATCACTGATTAAAACTATATTCTAAGTAATAAGATAAATACAAATTTTGATGATGTAAAATGATATTTTTAATGAAGTACCACAAAAGACTTATAGAAAAAAAGAAAGAACTGTCTGGGTAAAAGATTTCTTCTCTGGTGTGAAGGAGAAAGTATTTTATAACAGAATGACCAAGTGATTATATTGTAATAGGCTGTGTGAAGGAGAGTGCTGTCCAATTGCAGTCTGTTTAATGAAATTATATTAATTAAGGATATAGCATTTATATTTGGGAGGAAACAATGAGACACTGATGTGTTTGGGACTTTAATATTTAGTCATTGCTTTAAATAAATAAGAGATCTTCAAATACCCACAAGATCATTCTAAATGGCCCATTTCATATGAAAGTACAAAGAAAGCTTGATGTTTTCCTCTTTACTGATTGTTTTGGATAACAGCCTCCGACAGCATGCCGCTAATTCATTCTGCTTAAAACAGGCGCTTGAGCTGGGTTGACATTTTACGTAGTCTCTGGGGATCCTAGTTGACATTTTAAAGGGCTTCTAAGCATTTTATAATACCCTAAAATCTGGTTTTAATAAGCCATTCTGCTGAAATTGTTAACATAAGGAATCACCTTTTACTGTTTGGCGCTAGATCAGGGGACGGGGGACATCTTTTTCTGATTAGATATACAGTAGTGGAGTAAAATGTGCAAATTCATTACAGACCCCATGGAGATGACAATGCCACTTAGCTCAAACTCTTCCCTTTCAGTGTACTGACAGATTTAGAAAGGAAAACAATACTGTCAAGATTTTTTTTCTTATTTTGGGCATCAAACATTTTTGATCTAAACTTCTTTTTCTGTCTTTAGAAGGAATACTCAATTGTCTCTATTTTCATTGTAAAATGAGTTTTGTTTTTCCCTTTTGAAAGCAGCAGGGATATTAATCCCTGTATATAGATCCAGGTAAGCAACCAGCCACATCCAAATCAGGGAGATAGTTTTCATCTGTTCAAGAGTTATCAAAAATGCTTCCTCATCATTCTCATCTAGTATATTTCAAGAGTTTATAGCATAGCTACATACAGTGCTTACTGTACCTGCAAAGCCATTAAAACCAGAACCAAACTTGTCAATTAATGAATCCAATACAAAGTTAATATGAAAAATGAAAACTATGAACCAGCAGGTGGCATGGTGGTTAAAGTGCTGGACTCCCACATCGCGAACTGAGATTCAAGTTCTGGACCTGGTGGCTTTATTTCTCTCTCTCTCTCTCTCTCTCTCTTGTGAGTGCCTGTGCCCTATAGAAAATTTAATAATAGTAAAATTAAATAAACAGTCCTTTTAGAAAAAGAAAAATAGATTTACCACCAAATTGAGACCTTTCTTCCCTGTCATAAAATGGCATGGTTAGTAGCTTTGTGCCTCCTAGTACTCACACTATCTTAATTTTCAATTCTGGAAAGACTTAATTATTATATGGCTGTATATTAAAATGGAATTTAGAATTCAGTGATACTCCCAGAGAAATTATGTTATTAAGAGTTAAAGCTTTTTTTGTAGATGCAGATTTGGAAGCCATCACATCTTATAATTTATATATCTTTTATCATCTCATTTTCTTTATATACACATTCCATTTTTTCTGTGTTTTAGCCGGACTAACTTTTCTTAAATCCCTCTAATCCTCCTTTTCACTGAAAGACTTTGACCGTTGCATTCTTCCTGCATACAAGTTACTCTTTCTCTTTCTCATTTCTGCAGCGAAGCCTTCCAGACCTAAGGACTGAACTCACCTTGTCATCACGTTCTCTTACTGTCCTGTCCTTTCCACCATTATAATGAAGATCATAAATTTTGTAATTAGATGTTTAATGCATTTTTTTCACACTGAATGTAAGTTCCAAGCAAACAGGAACCACAACTCTCTTACTCACCACTGCATGTTAGTTCTCATCTAGTATATTTCAATGCAACATCATGCACCTAGAAATATAAGAACAGAAATATAAGAAATATAAAAACAATTCTCGCATTCCAAGACAGGTTACTTCACCATATACACATTTCCTTTCCTTCAAAAACCATCATCTTTTAAGCTTTCAAAACATATAGACTTAAGGAAGAATCTTTGGCAATTTTTATGGTAATTGGGCATGCTGACTTCTTCATTCGATTTTGTGTTTAAGATAGCAAGTTGACCTAATTCTTGACCCATTGTTCAGTGTATTCCTATTTTCTAGTAAGTACTTTCTGGTAATCTCACTTTTCTACTCCCTGCTCTGAGGTTTGTAAAACTGGCATATGTACTTTGCAAGAAACTCCATGGAAAGGTTGATCTAGTTCACTAGTATTATAACATTATCTGTGTTTATTTATGCCCTGAGGACAATAATGGCATTCAAATAACTCTAGAGAATAATGTTGAGCCAAGAGTTTGACATTGTTCCTATAAATGATAGCACCTAACCAACTGACTTAATGCTGGACAATGCTATTTGAACAGAAGTTTGAGGAAAGAACAGAAGGAATTCTGTGATTTATATTACAACCTAAGTTTCCATTGTAAATAGAATAGAATCATATTGGCTGTCTAGATTGGAAGAAAAAAGTCTATGATTATAAATCTTTGTAATACCTAAATGGACAAACCCACCTATGACCTCCTTTCCAATAGAAAACATTTTTTTTTTCTTTATTTGGAGAGGTTTTCACCATAGGGTGCATGCGCTCCCAAGAAAGAAAAAGAGAGACAGAGAGATAGAAAGCAAGAAGTCACACCCCCACCACCACCACCAGGGAGAATAGCCACACCTCAATCCCTTCTCTTCCATTCTCCTCTCAGGATCTTGGGCACGCACGCACATATGCCCAGCATGAGTTTAAGCCACTGGGTCCAGGACTCAAACCGCGGTCGACTACGTGGGAGTCCAGCAACATAGCCATTATGCTAACTGCTGGTCCCATAGAAAACAATTCTAAGAGAAAAGATACTGGCCCTTTTTTTGCATGCCTTAATAAATATAGCGGTGTGTTTGTAATAAGGAACTGCTGAGCAGTGAGCTGTCTGCGCTTGACATTCGACATTATGGTTGAGTAATGAACCCATTTAACAGCTTCTAAGACCTTGCTGAGGTGATTTTGGAAGGGAGGTTAAAGTGGTGGCACCGACACATATTTGAGAAAGAGCTCCTAGTTCCAGTTTCTTGGTCTTTGTGCATTTGGGTCGCATTGAGCTGACCATTAAGATCTCCTAGTTCCAGATAAACACACTTCATCTGCAAGTAGATTTTTAAATCTGTCTTAATAAAAATTAAGAACTGTTTCCACTACTTAATAATAGTAAAATTAAATAAACAGTCCTTTTAGAAAAAGAAAAATAGATTTACCACCAAATTGAGACCTTTCTTCCCTGTCATAAAATGGCATGGTTAGTAGCTTTGTGCCTCCTAGTACTCACACTATCTTAATTTTCAATTCTGGAAAGACTTAATTATTATATGGCTGTATATTAAAATGGAATTTAGAATTCAGTGATACTCCCAGAGAAATTATGTTATTAAGAGTTAAAGCTTTTTTTGTAGATGCAGATTTGGAAGCCATCACATCTTATAATTTATATATCTTTTATCATCTCATTTTCTTTATATACACATTCCATTTTTTCTGTGTTTTAGCCGGACTAACTTTTCTTAAATCCCTCTAATCCTCCTTTTCACTGAAAGACTTTGACCGTTGCATTCTTCCTGCATACAAGTTACTCTTTCTCTTTCTCATTTCTGCAGCGAAGCCTTCCAGACCTAAGGACTGAACTCACCTTGTCATCACGTTCTCTTACTGTCCTGTCCTTTCCACCATTATAATGAAGATCATAAATTTTGTAATTAGATGTTTAATGCATTTTTTTCACACTGAATGTAAGTTCCAAGCAAACAGGAACCACAACTCTCTTACTCACCACTGCATGTTAGTTCTCATCTAGTATATTTCAATGCAACATCATGCACCTAGAAATATAAGAACAGAAATATAAGAAATATAAAAACAATTCTCGCATTCCAAGACAGGTTACTTCACCATATACACATTTCCTTTCCTTCAAAAACCATCATCTTTTAAGCTTTCAAAACATATAGACTTAAGGAAGAATCTTTGGCAATTTTTATGGTAATTGGGCATGCTGACTTCTTCATTCGATTTTGTGTTTAAGATAGCAAGTTGACCTAATTCTTGACCCATTGTTCAGTGTATTCCTATTTTCTAGTAAGTACTTTCTGGTAATCTCACTTTTCTACTCCCTGCTCTGAGGTTTGTAAAACTGGCATATGTACTTTGCAAGAAACTCCATGGAAAGGTTGATCTAGTTCACTAGTATTATAACATTATCTGTGTTTATTTATGCCCTGAGGGCAATAATGGCATTCAAATAACTCTAGAGAATAATGTTGAGCCAAGAGTTTGACATTGTACCTATAAATGATAGCACCTAACCAACTGACTTAATGCTGGACAATGCTATTTGAACAGAAGTTTGAGGAAAGAACAGAAGGAATTCTGTGATTTATATTACAACCTAAGTTTCCATTGTAAATAGAATAGAATCATATTGGCTGTCTAGATTGGAAGAAAAAAGTCTATGATTATAAATCTTTGTAATACCTAAATGGACAAACCCACCTATGACCTCCTTTCCAATAGAAAACATTTTTTTTTTCTTTATTTGGAGAGGTTTTCACCATAGGGTGCATGCGCTCCCAAGAAAGAAAAAGAGAGACAGAGAGATAGAAAGCAAGAAGTCACACCACCACCACCACCACCAGGGAGAATAGCCACACCTCAATCACTTCTCTTCCATTCTCCTCTCAGGATCTTGGGCACGCACGCACATATGCCCAGCATGAGTTTAAGCCACTGGGTCCAGGACTCAAACCGCGGTCGACTACGTGGGAGTCCAGCAACATAGCCATTATGCTAACTGCTGGTCCCATAGAAAACAATTCTAAGAGAAAAGATACTGGCCCTTTTTTTGCATGCCTTAATAAATATAGCGGTGTGTTTGTAATAAGGAACTGCTGAGCAGTGAGCTGTCTGCACTTGACATTCGACATTATGGTTGAGTAATGAACCCATTTAACAGCTTCTAAGACCTTGCTGAGGTGATTTTGGAAGGGAGGTTAAAGTGGTGGCACCGACACATATTTGAGAAAGAGCTCCTAGTTCCAGTTTCTTGGTCTTTGTGCATTTGGGTCGCATTGAGCTGACCATTAAGATCTCCTAGTTCCAGATAAACACACTTCATCTGCAAGTAGATTTTTAAATCTGTCTTAATAAAAATTAAGAACTGTTTCCACTACTTCTATTACCACTACTCATAGCCATAGTGACGGTGTCGAAGCATTACGCCTTATGTAAAATGAGAACTAGCATAAACTCATTTTAGTTAAGAGTCAAACTTGTTTTTCTCTATTCTAATTGAATCCACACTAAAACTAACCATGAAAAGAGGAGGGAATAATTTAGATTATCACTATTAATGCATACTGTTAAATGGAAGGTGGCATCATTACATGTTATTGAAAATGATTAAGAGAAAAAAATCCTATTTGCTACATGATTATTATTGTTCCTCTGCTCCCTGCTACATCATATAAAGAAGGAGGTGGGGACCAGCAGTTAGCGTAATGGCTATGTCGCTGGATTCCCATGTAGTCGACTGCAGTTCACGTCCCAAACGCGGTAGCTTAAACTCATGCTGGGCGCATGTGCGTGTGTGCCCAAGATCCCAAGAGGATAATGGAGGAGAAGGGATTGTGGCGTGGCCATCTCCCCTGGGGGGTGATTTCTCGCTTTCTGTCTCTCTCTCTCTCTCTGTCTGTCTGGCGAGTGCATGTGCCCTATAGCAAAAACCTCTCAAAAAAAAAAGAAAAGAGGAGGTGTATGCATGTAAGGACATGTGTTGTAACACACGGTAAGTTCTATGAGACCTGAGTGTGAGTTGCAAGTATATTCATGAATACTCACATGACCTTGAGTTAGTTACTGCATCTCTTTGAGCATCACATTTATCATCTATGAAATTAAAAGTGCTATCTATCTTCCCGGATTGTGGTGAAAGGTGGAAATGAGACAGTATATGGAAAGTTTTTAGTATAGTATTTAGCACATAGTATTTACCCAGTCTGTTGTCAGTAATATTATCACTTTAATTTTAATTACATTTTAAAGAAATCAGTTTCTAACTACATCTTTTTCTGTAAGCATATGTAAGCATTTTGGGGAGAATTAAAATATATAGGTTAGGAACTTTTGTCGCAAGTAGTACCTCGGCATGAAAGATAATTAGTCTAGGATTCAAAATGTGTGATGAGTTATTGCATAACTTTTCAGCTCACAGTTAAGTTACATCATGATCTAATGTACAAATGAAAGATACAGTCATTAAATTAGCTATTAGCTTTTGAGTACATAATGTTAAAAGTTTTCAAAAAATTCATTCAAGCCGGAAAAAATACATATGTCACCTAATGTTTCTATGTTCGGGCGCACAGTTAATTTGAGTGAAGAACCACCTCTACTCTTATGGGATCTCATTTTTTGAGTCAAAGCTCACTAATCAAAACCATGTTTATGTGTTTCAAGGTTTTGACCAACCTCTTTAATTCTTTCTCAGTTACATCCTTTCCTTAGGGTGCTTCGAAACTGTGCAAACTGGAACTGTAACCTTCTTTTCCTCATAGGATCTCGCTGGAAAGCGATGACCAACCTAGAGAAACAGCCATATTACGAGGAGCAGGCCCGTCTCAGCAAGCAGCACCTGGAGAAGTACCCTGACTACAAGTACAAGCCCAGGCCGAAGCGCACCTGCCTTGTAGACGGCAAAAAGCTGCGCATTGGGGAGTACAAGGCAATCATGCGGAACAGGCGGCAGGAGATGCGGCAATACTTCAACGTTGGGTACGGCCTGGCCTGGGTGTTATTTTTCAATAGGGACATCTTCCCGTGGTACTTAATGGGATGTGAAAAGTATTTGGTCGCAAAGCAATGCTTTGAAAAAGAACTTGAGCTCTGTATATCCAGGAGCCACACTGTCTTCCATGTGGTTCTGACAGATATATCCATATGCATCCACTGCAAGCTCCTAGCTCCAGATGAGCTTTGATAACACTTCCTTGAGAATAAAATGTCTGCAACTAAGTAATATTTGAAGGTTACTATCAAAAATATAGACTTCTTACTCTTTTTCCTCACTGATTTTCATTACTTCCAAGGCTTCACTGAGACAGACTCTACATACAGCTCAGAACTTCGTTTAAATAATATAACAAAAATTCTTTCAAAAGAAAGCAACATTAGTTTCCAAATATAGCAGGATTGCTGAGCTCTCGGGGGCACATGTGTGGCCTTTGTGGCTCACACAAGGCAGGGATTATATTTAGGGCACTACAGGGTTGTGAATGGGAGAGTCCTGTTCTGTGTTACAGACAGAGTTCTCTGCGTGTTTTACTCAGCTTCCTGGGGCAGCATAGGCGATAATGTTGTAATATGCTGCTGCAGTGTATTGTTTCTACAGAATTCGTTTGAAAACCACAGAAATCAATTTGTTCATATTTGAAACAGAAGTTGGTGAGGTCCTAAGACTTCTTAGCATAATAAGCACTGATCTGTATATGGCCAGAGGATACCTTAGAAGAAAATAACTCTTCCCAACTGCCCTGGCCCCTCTATTTCCTTGAGAATCTGTGTGCTTTGTCCAGAGTCAGTGATGTATATCCAACCACATGACTTTTCACAAACCCCAACCCTTCCCAGGTGTATAGTCAATGTATGAGTGAATGGAAGCAGGCAAGAATGAGCATCATCTGCTCATCCCATCCTACTACGACGACTATGTAATTGTGGGGCCCAGTGCAAAAACGAAAAGGGGTCTTTTGTCGAAAAGTTATTAAGAATTGCAATATAGCAGAACTTTAAAGGAAATGAGGATCTTCATGCAGTTTCACAGGTTATAGGTCCGTGAGGCTGGCCACAGGGCTAAAATCGTCTTCAGGGATGGTGTGAACATAGGGTAGTATTCAGTTCAGATGTATTCTGGACAGTAAAGTTTTATTTTGAGAGCTGTAATGCTTTAAGGTTTCTTTCCTATTAAAATTGGATGAGTTTAATACTAGAAAACAATTTTTTTTATGTATGTTATAATGAAAAAAGTGAAATTGGAATTAAGGGCTTAGGCCCTCTGCTTAATTTTTCTGTGCTTTAGCTTATTTTTTAATTCTTTTTTAAATTTAACTTTATTGATTTATTTTAATTTGATGAGAGAGAGAGAGAGAGAGCAAGCAAGCTGCTAAGAGATCTGGGACTCAAACCATGGAAGACCGAGTGAGAGAGAGTCCAGTCCCCTTAACCACCACACCACTTGCCAGCCCCTCTTCATATATATAAATAGAATAGTAAGAAGACAGGAGTCAAGTGGGCAACCTATGTAAATACCTTATAATCCATAAAGCACTGTACAGTAGGATGGTATTAGAATCAACCTAAGATACAGTTTGAAAAATGTTAAATAATTGGTTACAAAGCAGTAGCTTTTAGAGTTGGACATGGCTGTGCAAATGAATTATATGTTAAGGCCCACATTTACCTACCCATTACCTACCCATTCACCCACGATCTCTTTTTGGGAATTTTTCTCTGACAGGCAACAAGCACAGATCCCCATCGCCACTGCTGGTGTTGTGTACCCTGGAGCCATCGCCATGGCCGGAATGCCCTCCCCTCACCTGCCCTCTGAGCACTCAAGCGTGTCTAGCAGCCCAGAGCCTGGGATGCCCGTTATTCAGAGCACTTACGGCGTGAAAGGAGAGGAGCCCCATATCAAAGAAGAGATACAGGCTGAGGACATCAATGGAGAAATTTATGATGAGTACGATGAGGAAGAAGATGATCCAGATGTAGATTATGGGAGTGACAGTGAAAACCATATTGCAGGACAAGCCAACTGATAAGGGTCAAAGATTGTTGTGACCTTAGGACTTAAAGAAGCCCTAGCTGGTTCATCCTTACCAGTGGCCAAGCACATTAACTTTCTCATACACTGACTGTTACTTTAACTTAGTCTTAAATAGTTGGGACATCAGCTGACTAATAGACCTCAGCCTCCAAAGGCTTGGAAAGGAAAAAAAAAAAATACAACAAGCAAACAACAATATCAACAACAAGAGATTGAAATAAGCTATGGGTAAAATAATGCCAGTAATTCAGCTGCTACATCCAAGCACTGAAGTCTTACCCGTCAACTTTTTTTTTTTTTTTTTAAATAAACTTTATGGCTGTTTGTTCTACAATGTTCTAGAAATTCTCACTCAGGTACACAGTGCCAACAAGTGGCTTGTGAATGTGTTTTGTTGTTTTGTGCTACAATTTTTAAAAAGAAATAAGTTTTGTTTTGTTTTGGGGGGTTTCTGGGCTTTTTCTTTTCTTTTTCTTTCCTTTTATTTTTTTCTTTCGTAATGCACCTGACAGAAAAAAAAAAAAAAAGAATTTCTCTTTACTTCTCTCCACCTTCTCCATCTCTCTAGTTTATAGATGGAAGTCTGTGCATGAGGGGGAAAGAGGGAAAAAGAGCCTGTTTTGAACCTCCTTGCTATCCACCATAAAATAAGCAATTCTTTTCTTCAGAGGACTTTATCTATTGCACACACCACACTACATCTTTGAGCAAGTGCCAAATTTGTACTGAAGTGTTGACCAAGTTTATTTTTTCCCTTTCCTTTTTCCTGTTCCTTCTTAAGTTAGGACAGTGTTATATCTTAGACAATCCCTTGAAAAACCTGAAATACCAGCAGCTGGTGAGATTTGACTTTTTTTGTTGTTGTTGTTTTAATGGAAACTGTAGGTGCTGTTCTCAGGTGAAAAGAGAGAGAGAGAGACATAAGAAATTTAGAGAAAAAATATTTTCTGATCTTGGATTTTTGTGTGTATGTATGTGTGTGATTATGGTACTAATAGAAATAACTTTGGACCATTGTGAGTTAAACCCACATCTGGGGATGAAATCCCACATCCTCCTAAGTGACTGGTCTAGAAGTAATCTTGACCTCGATTTTGCACTTCAAATGACAACATAACCAAGTGTAGGGCTCAGACATTCTATTTTTAAACTTCTACTATGATTATTGGATGGATCAGGTGGCCCTGTGTAATAGATGTGTGCATGTATGACATGGAAGCTACGAGCAGACTGTCCCAGATGTCCCTTCTCCCTGGTCAGCTGGTTCCACTAACATTTGCTACTCAGTGGTTTTTCGTTTGTTTTTCCTGTTGATACTTTGAGCAAAACAGTAGCTGTTACCATTGAATATATTTGGCCATTCTCCAGAAATGCCGAGAATTAGCTTATTTCTTCAGCATTCCATCCTTTCCTGACCGGGAAATGGAACTGATGGTTTTATAAGGTATTTTTAAACTTTTCATGAAATAAAGTGGAGGCCTTTTGCTATGTCAGAAGCATAGGCCGTGTGTATTTCATGCTCTAAAATGCACGATTTGATTAAAAGTTGTTGCAGCCCAACCAACGAAACAGAGCCTGGCTGAACCCACTGACCCTTGCCACTACCCTTCTTTGCTGTAAGATGAATCCACTGAAGTCTGAATTTTGGTTGCAGTCGAGTATGTACATAGAGCAACAACTGATGGTGATGGGACTGCTTGTTTAGATTTTTGCCAGCCAAATGCCAAGGCAATTGTAGGGCCTGTACAAATAAATCCAAAATCATTTTTAGTCAATTGCCATTATTTATGTTGAAGCATCAGACAATAAATACTCCCAGCCAGTAGCTTGGATGTGCTATGAGTTTCACTCCAGTCGTCATTTTCCTAACTCACTCCCCAAACACCACCCTAAAGTTAGATTTTCTTTTTTTTAGATATAAATAAGAAAAAAAAATCCTTTTTCAGTTTTCTCTCTCTCAGAAGACTTGCTCTGGGATTTTGCTTGGAGATGCTGATCATACCCTGCATGTCAGAGATTTTGTTTTGTTTGTTTTTCTGTTTGTTTTTGATGACTGTATTTTCATTTGAACTGCCTCTTTTTGCTAGTGTTGTAATAATGATGATGATAAAATAATAATAATAATAATAGTAATAATAATAATGAGAATGGTCAGCTGTTCCCAGATTAGTAAGTTATGTATAATTTATTTTATTTCTCCCTTTCTATTTTATTCTGCTCTGATTTGGAAGCACAGCCTATAAGCTGTTAGATATTTAAAATGAATTTCCATCTCCAGCTCATAAACACATACGCACACGCACACACACACACACACACACACACACACACATTTACCCACACAATTTTTTTATTTCTCCTTCCATAAGTTTTGTCCTTTTTTTAAAAAAATTTTGGCCCCAACTATGTCAGTTCTGGTGTTTAATACAAAGGAGTGAATTAATAGGAGGGTCGTGTTCAATCTTAATTAACGTAGGCTCTCATCACTCATTTTAGTTATTTAATTGCCACAGTCATCTAGAGCCAATCTTTTTGTTTTTGTTTGTTTTGTTTTGTTTTTAAGCACTCTGGATAAGGAAAAAATAGATGCTTGTTTTTATATCGTTATTATGTACAATGTGAAAACAGATTTTTTTAAAATTTGTTCTCTGTCTTTGTTAACAAATTCCTTCTGACTTACGTGGGTTCACCTTTCACGTTTGCTGGATACTTATTTTACACCATGTTATAAAGATGCTTTGTCTTCATTTCATGACTTTGGGCTACAAGAATACTTTGTTTTAGCTCCAGGTAGATGCCACTAAAGGCATTCATGGCTGAAACCAATTCTAACACACTTACTGGAGAGTTGACAAAACAAACTTCTGTTTGGTTTTTGTTTTGTTTTATATTTATTTTTTATTTGAAGGGGAAAACAAAATTGTTAATGGTGACCTCTAACTGCTGAAATTCAGAAGTTACTTTTATTTTGTTAGGTTTATGTCTGAGACTAACCTGTGCATGCGCTCAAACAGCAAGTCTGGAGAGCTGCATCGTATTCTCTGGTTCTGACATTTAATTCACTGGTTGTCAAAATTCTTTTGCCTTAGTTTTCCCCAAAAGAAAACAAAATCAAGTATATTAATATGTAAAGTGCTTTGGAGTCACTTGATAAAAGGTGCTGTGAATAGCAACTTACTGTGTTAACACATATCCTTTTTGGCATTTGATTGGTTTATGATTTTGTAAAGGATCCTACAAGCTTCTGTTCTTTTTCTGTGACCCACGTGACCTAAATGGGAGAGGAGATGAAAGTAAGATCAAACTAAAACAGATATGAACAGTCTCCCTTCACTCTCCTTTCTTACCTGCCTGTTCACACCTCTCTCTCTCTCCCTCTCTCTCTCCCTCTCTCTCTCACACACACACACACACACACACACACACACAGCTACCTACCCCATCACTGAGGGATAATCTTGCCAGGATCCTGGTTTTTATCATTGTCAGGAAAGTTCTTCAAAAAATCGTCATGTTTGAATATGAATCTAATAGAACATCACTGAAAAAAATAGAAAATTGCTCATTTTTTAAGTTACTAAAGATTTGCCTCATTACTACCATTGGATAAAATAGAAAACTATTCTTCAGTATATTTATACCTAAATTAGTTAAGTCCATTTTTAAAGTTCATTTGGCATCTGTAGTTAAGATTTAACCATGTGTAAAATCCCTCCCAAAGAACATAATCATCATTGTTGAAACCAAATCCTCTTATAAGGAACAAATATTAAAATAAAAAAAAAAAAGTTTTCTGTGATGAAACGATTTCATAGGTTTGATTTCTGGAGTAGAATTTTACCTTAATTCATTTAAAGAAAATTATCTTTAGCTGTTTCATATTCTAATTTCAATATTTTCTTAATCCAGATGCTGTTACTGTTCCCTGAAGAAACCTCTTATTTCACATTTAAAATGTTGAAAATAATTACACTTTCATTCATTCTAATAATGGGTAAATTATTGAATTGTAATAAACAACTGTATATTTACAAACACATTTATAAAATATTTGTCTATCGGGTTAATAGTGAAATTAAAAGTATGGGGGTCTGCAAGGAAAAATATGAAGCCCACTTAAAGTGGTTCAGCTTTCTCTTTGACTGTAGGGCATAGGTGTTTAGCCAGGCTTTTTCAGTATTTAATTTTAAAGTTTCCTATGACTATCAATTTCCCAGGTTGAAGATGATATATTGAGTTTTCTACTGATTGATTCCTGTTCCCCCCAGTGTTCCTGTCACTGGTTCATTAAGACAGTATTTATATAGCTCCATTGGCTCTAAAGCGCTTAGACCTTCTAACATTTTGGATTTTACAAGAGAAAATGGAAAAAAAATAGAAAAGAGACAATCAAATGCCTGGAGCTTAAAACAAAGTATGTGCAACCTACCATCTCACTTGAAATTTAATAAAATAAATAAGTATGTAAATATAACATAGAGTTATAGATTTATATTTTGTTCATAACACATAGTGTAATATAAGTTGTATATTTTCATGTTTTTGGTTTTATGTTATCATTCATGCCACAATAAAAAAATAAAACAGGAGTTTATGTACTCTCAGAAAAAAAAAAAAGATGTGGGTTGCCACAAACCTGTTTTTTGTTTTTATTATTTTGTTTCTTTTTTTTTTTTTTTTTTTTGCATTCTCTTTTTTCAGTATTACTGCCATGCAAACCACCAATAAAAACAGCAAATGTGTTCTTTACCTATTATGCTGTGTTTCTTTTCATAATTCTTGTTATGAAGGGGTAGTCATTAGTTTATTATGAAAAATAAACAACAAAAGTATGGCAAATAATTAATTTTATTTTCAATATGGATAATCACACTTATTGAAGTTGACTTTGAACTGAAAACCAAGGGGTTGATTCTTAGATGTGGCCATTCCAAGGACAGGCAGAACTTGGTATAATACAGCTCACTCAGACAAGAGTCCAGCTTCACCGTCATGTCAAAAGATGTCCTTCTTATATGTAATTGGATCTAATGTACTTGAAAATCCTATAGCCCAAAGCACTTCCAGTGCTGTTTGGCTGGGCGCTATCATTGAATGGGTGGTGGAGTTTCTAAGCCTTAGAATTTACTTCATTCTTTTGTTTGTACAGAAACATTTCAAAATTTCAGATCATGAAA